ACTAAACAATCTCTGAAAAAATCTTGTTTAAAGGCCTCCAAAGACAGAGAGTCCATCACCCTCTGAGGCAGTTCATTCCACTGTCAAAGAGCTCCTAAAGTAAGAAGTTCTTTCTAATGTTTAGGTGGAGTCCTTTTTCTTGTATTCTGAATCCATTGCTCCATATCCTAGGCTCTGGAGCAGCAGAACACAAGCTAGGTCCATTTTCTACATTACATCCCTTTAGATATTTAAAGACGTCCATCACATCGTTCCCTCAGTCTTCTCTTCTTTAGGCTGAACATACCAAGACTCTTATACAGGTTGGGACTAGTCTCAGAACGAACTCCTCATGTCAGCAAACTCAATTTTGGAGAAACAAAATGACTGCCACCACTCCAAACGTTGACCACTCCTGCTCTTAGCTCCTACCTACAGAATACCCACTCTCCTTTTCTTGGATTTCTGCGTCTGTTGGCAAATTATTTTCTATTGGCAAGCTGTTACCATTGGACATGTACTTATTCTGAAGCGGTTATTTTAGAATCCACATTTAGCATCCACTGCATTTGTGACTTTTAACATATAAGCTATATTAAATGTGTTGGAACTCTGTGGCCTCCCCCTGATTTAGGGAGAGGGACATTTGGCTGAACTGGAGGAGAACACTAAATCATCTGAAGTTTTCTTTTTAGTTTTTTGTGGGTTTTTCGGGCTGTGTGGCCATGTTCTAGAAGAGTTTCTTTCTGACGTTTCGCTAGCATCTATGGCTGGCATCTTCAGAGAAGATGCCAACCACAGATGCTGGCGAAACGTCAGAAAGAAACTCTTCTAGAACATGGCCACACAGCCCGAAAAACTCACTAAAATTATGCATGCCGACCATGAAAGCTTCGAGTTTACTTCTCTTTTTTTTTAAAGGTTAAACAATTAACAATTAAGTGACTAATACTTTGTTTTTATTCACTTAGAATAAGAACCAACATGAATAAACGCCACTCCCAAGTCCTTAAGTCTGATGACTACGCCCCCACTCAAAACGCCTAGGTAAACACACCTCATCTTTTTGGAGTGGTGTTTGAAAAGGAAGTGGTGAAGAGGTCTATATCTCTGCTTGCCATGCAGAAGCCTCAGCCATGTTGGCCAATAGTCCTATGTTGTCCAATAGCTCCTGGGATTCTGGGAGCTGAAGTCCTTCAGCCCTTAAAGGGGAAAGGTTGCCTACCCCTGATTTACACAATTGCATACTTTTTTTTAAAAAAAAAAAATCTGAACTGTGTTGATCTATAGCAGCGTGAGCGAAGTCCAGATTCTTCTTGGACTGGAAGTCCTATCATTCTTCACCACTGGTAATAGTGGTTAGCACTTGCGGGAGTGACAAGAGGGACATAATTTGCTCATCCTTGGTTTTTGAAATCAACCATTCATTGAACTATCAATTTTCAGTGTGGGAATACTTTGGGTCAGAGAGTGGGATCATATGCTGGAAAGTCCTGGGAGATCGATCCCATGTTTGCCCCTATACATCTTCCCTGAAAGGACATTCTCTCTCCAGAGAAAACCAAGGCTTCCTTTGCATTATAAATACTGCCAAAACACATTAAGTACGTTACAGGGGAAGGCAATGGCAAACCTCCTCTGAACAAATCTTGCCAAGAAAACCCCATGACAGGTTCACTTTAGGGTCGCCATAAGTTGGAAACGACTTGAAGGCACACAACACACACTTATATATAAAACAGGACACCCATTGCCCATCTTCCTATGCCAACCAGATAAAGAGTAAAGGCCAGTTTGAATCAGAACACCTTTGTCTGCCAGCAAGAAGTAGTAAAAGCAAAAGGAGGTAGCAAAGTTAGCCCAATCTGTAGAAAGGAATTCCACAGCCTAGGACCAGCTATTGAGAAGGCACTCTCTCTTGTCCTGAACCATTAAGGGTGGTGGGAAAGAGAAAGCCCTCCTCTGAAGATCGTAAGATTTGGGTGGGCTCATGTGGGCTTTCAGATACTCTGGACCTACGGTATATAGAGTATTTCAGCCCAAGGTAACCCAGTGAGTTTCCATGAACCCTGGTCTTCCGGAGTCTTACTCCAACATCACAACCACTACACCATGCTGACTTCCACAACTGAAATAATGACAAGAAAATGTTACCCTAAACGCATCTAATGATGATGACGTCACATGTAATTCTGTTACACTTGCAGTAGGGCTTTATGAGGGCTTCGTTTCCAAAAAAATAATAATAGTAATGTTACTTGTAACACAGTGTTCTGGACTTCTACCTAGCAAGACCGGCAGGCAGATACACACACACACACACGGGTTTTGAGGTGGGAAAAATCTGGAACAGTTTTGAGACCAGATGTGTTTCGAGGGAGGCTCCCAGATGTTGGCTTTCTCTAGTGGTTCTAGCATTTTGTTGCACAGCTGACACCTGTAGCTGAGATGTCAAACATGCCAAGTCCCATTCGAATTTCCTTGCAACCCAAGTGTACCAGGAGGACTTGCAGAATGGTTTAAGAGCAATCCTATTGGAAAGCCACTACAAATCTCTGTCCCAACCTCTTCCACCATCAGGTTCCTCATTCAATTCTACTTTTGAATCTGTCAGTACTGGGGAAGCCAGAGGTGTCTTACCCCAAAAGATCAACATCATACTTCAGTTGTGACAGATTCAGCCCCTTCCCCAGCCATGATATCAGTGGTGAGGGGTTAGATTGGTGTATCCCCCTTATTGTTGTTTACCTTTGGAGCAACTTTGCTGGGGAGGGTTGGCAGCAACTGGGATGAAGCATTCCATTGCTAGCAATTGCAATGGAGAGGGGCAGCTTCCATCATTTTGAGTCTGTACATTTGTGTATAAGTATGCATTGTTGTGTTTCTGACATGGTGACCCTAAGGTGACTCTATCATGGAGTTTTCTTGGCAAGATTTGTTCAGAGGAGGTTTGCCATTGCCTTCCCCTGAGAGCTGAGAGTGTGCGACTTGGCACTCAGTGAGTTTCATGGCCAAGTTGGAAATCGAACCCTGGTCTCCAGAGTCGACAGGTAACCATGATCTCTAGAGTCAACAGGTAACCATGGTTTCCAGAGTCAACAGGTAAATCTCTTGGTGCATAGGTTTTGGTATGCTGCAGGGGGAGGAAGCACATCCCTTTCTACTGATTTAAATTTGGGCACAGGAAATGTGTGACTGTCAGTACAATCTGAATCTAGTTTGTTTTTTATGACTCCAGAAACCAGGGTTTGATTCCCAGCTTGGCCATGAAACCCAATGGGTGACCTTGGGCAACTCACATGCTCTCAGCCTCAGGGGAAGGCAATGGCAAACCTCCACTTAAGAGTTCTTGCCAAGAAAACTCCATGATAGGTTTGTCTTAGGGTTGCCATAAGTCAGAACTGACTTGAAGACAAACAACAACACACGATGTGGCAGTAATGGGGGTCATTGTGGACCAGGAAAATGGGAGGCGATGCTGAATTGTTTGATGGTTTGAACGGGCAATTTTTCCCCGCATGATATGCCCAGAGTGAAAAGGGTTGTCAAGGCCGTTCACTTCAAAGCATCCTAACTGCAAAATGTCAATGAGAAAGAAGTGAAGAGATGAGAAGAAGAGGAAGAAATAGAAAAACAACTTAGCTAAAGACTGGAAGAGAAGGGAACGTTTGGGGGATGCTGCTCGTGCAAGAAACAAAAGAACCAAGAAGTAACGGCTCAGGTATATGGCCAGGCCTATGCATGGAAGGAAAGGGATGCAGAGTTCCTGCTGGAAAAGGCCAGGAATGTTACAAAATTTTCTGCAAGAAGCTTTGCGTAGGTGTCAAACCCAATTTGTGTGATTCACTAAGGCTGCTGCCATACTGCAGAAAGAAGAACAGTTTGACACCAGTTTAACTGCCCTTACTCATTGGCGTAGTAGCGGTTTGAGTGTTGGACTAAGACTCTGGAAACTAGAGTTCGATTCCCAGCTCAGCTATGGAAACTCACTGGGTGACTTGGGAAAGTCACACACTCTCAGCCTCAGGGAAAAGCAAATGCAAACCTTCTCTGAACAAATCCTGCCAAGAAAACCCCTTAGGGTTGCCATGAGTCAGAAACGACCTGAAGGCACACAGCAACAAGCAACAAATGGAATTCTTGGACGTGTGGTTTTGTGAGATATTTAGCCTTCCCCGTCAGAGAACTCTCATGCCACACCAAACTACAAATCCCAGAATTCCATAGCATTGGAATTACAGTGGTGCCAAACTATTTTGCAGTGTGTCAGTGGCCAGAGATGACAAAAAAGAGCCTCTGTCTCAATTATTGCCTCGAAACATTCGGTTAAAAGCCACACATTTAGGAGCAAGGTGTGTTTCGTAGGCATTGCCACAATGCAGATGCTCTTATGTTTTAAGGCACATTTAACCTTCTACCTGCCTATTTTTTGTTTCCTTTATTTACTTTTGTGTGTTGCACAGTTGACAAAGGAGATGGGCAACTTCTCTGATGCATTTAAAGGCACCACCTCTTTCTTTCTTTCTTTCTTTCTTTCTTTCTTTCTTTCTTTCTTTCTTTCTTTCTTTCTTTCTTTCTTGTGAACCAGATATACAATGAACAAACAACCAAAGGTGAAATATTAAGCTTGGGTAGGTTGGTGTACCTGGGCTTAGTTTTTAGTGTTGTTTATCTCTATAGACAGGCTGTCACTTTCATGGTTTGTTTTTCTTTCTTTCTTTCTTTCTTTCTTTCTTTCTTTGGCCTAAGCCAGCCGTGCTGCCTATGCTCTTATACTTTACTCATATAAGTATTTAACAAACACATACATATATTTGAAAAATTAAATTAATTTAATTCTGCATAGCATTGTTGTTGTTGTTTTCTTGTTGTCTGCCTTCAAGTCATTTCCAACTTACGGTGACCCTAAGGCAAACCTATCATGGGGTTTTCTTGGCAAGAATTCTTAAGTGGAGGTTTGCCATTGCCTTCCCCTGAGGCTGAGAGCATGCAACTTGCCTAAGGTCACCCAGTGGGTTTCATGGCCAAGCAGGGAATCGAACCCTGGTCTTCAGAGTCCCAACACTCAAACCACTACACCACATTGACATTCGCACAATAATCAGTAGTCAAGAGGGGAACATATTTGGCTTGCCCTGTACATATGTAGGCAGGACAGGGAGTTGTACAGTGAGTGATATCATGGGCATCATCTATTAGGAATTCACAATATTTCTCCTGAAGCCACTCCTCACACTCTAAGCATCCTGTGCTAACCGTGCTCCCCTGGGATAGGAGTGGTTGTTCAATAGCAGCTCCAAAGGTAAAACTACTTGTTAAGTAAAACCACCAAGAGTCATGTGGTGGATTTAGTAAGAGGATTTAGTAAGAGGTTTACTATAGCATGAGCTGTTGTGGATTGCAATCTACGTTGTCAAATCTTGGAGATTCAGGTATATATATGCATGGTTCATGTAGCTCCCGGTGAGATTGGAGCTGAATAGGATGTAAAAATATTGTCATTGACAACTATATTATGAACACTGGCCATTCAGAAAACTTGCTGGTGCATTGTTCCATCACAATGGACGTTATCACACGGGGGCAAATCTGCTGGTTAATCCACACAAAATCCAGACCGAAACTGGATTACTGCCCCGTGTTTTCACACGACGTCACACAGAAACTGGACAGAAAGTGGACAGAAACGCGACCTTTTGTAATCCATTTCTCTGGAGGAAATGCAAATACGTAATTACGGTAATTACGCATTTACCGTAATGTGATCGCCAAATGTGCATTGGGGAGCATTTCCCTGCTGTTGCCATGGTTCCAGCAAGCATTCCTCTATCTGCGCATGTGCAAGAGGCTCATTTCTACTACATTTACGGGTTTTTTTCTCTTGTGTGTGGACGTTCAGTGCAGTTACTGTAAATTCGCAATTAAGGTAATGACGTTTGCGGAAACAAGGTTTATTTCCTGTTTATTTTTGGGATGCCTCATTTCCACTTTATTTTCAGTTTCTGGGCCACGTGTGATAATGTCCAATGAGAGCCTGTGCTCCACTGACCACTGCGAAGAACAAGAATCTAGGTTTGTGTCCTTTTAATGAAGCACTTCCAAATAGATGTCACTTTTACTCTGTTGCCACTTGGCAGGATGAAACAGAGAGCGATTCTACAGTCCAGCAATAGAATTTGCCTGGAAGGAGGTGGGTCTTGGAGAAGCTTCTTAAAAGCAGCAGAGAGGTTGATTTATCTGCCACGTGATGGTTTCTTAACTTCGACTTGAGTGTCTGTTGCTCTTAGCATCTTGTCAACAGAACGACATATGCCTTGACAATGGGCTGACACACAAGTTGGGTGTGCCAACTGACCACTAAGAACACCTCTCATCTGATGCCAGCTGTGCTGAAAATAGCCGCACAGGTTTTGCCGGTCTCTCTTTTTTTCCATTAGTAAGGAGCAATTGGGTCTCAATGAAATCTGCACATTGTTTGGCAAGGGGAATGGAAAGGGGAAAGGTGGAAGAGGGAGAGGGGGCCAGGAAGCAAACTCCAAGTCTGACATTTGATAACCAGTAGGATTATATATATATATATA